TAAAAAAGAACATGTACCGGACAATGTACTCAAAGTTATCATTTCAGACTTAAATTCAATATTGCCAATTATAGAACTGCTCGATATGTTTATAAAAAAAAGTACATTCAACATACTCCAGAAATATGTAGTGTTTGAAAGACAATACCTCTCAACTTTCGCAGTTATCATTAAAAATAAATATTCGTAATAGCAAAAATCTCTTATCGGTTTCGAGTTCACATCGAGTTACGATTTCAACGAGAGATGTAAAAAAATCACGCATCAATATAAAACAAATAACAATTAGAGACTAGAAAACTTTCTTTTCAAAGAATTAACGTCTTATAGATAAAGTTGTGGCAATGTAGATGATACATTGCAGAAGAACCAGAATTGCATATGAACTGTACCACAATTGGTTCCCAGATAATGTCAGATGTATATAAAGTCAGGCGAGCTGCTCAGATCATTAAAACGAGATTCGCAAAAAATACTGGACATTTGGGAAAAGTACTTGGATAATTGCAAAGAAAACTGTGTAAAAGTACAACGCTTCGTTAAGCATATGCGTTGGTACAAAGACTTATCTATTAAATTTGTCAAGCATTGCATATATGATCACTGTATAAACACAAATAAAAAATCGAGAAACATCATTATTCTACTTCACACTGGTGACATGGTGACAAAACTAATCGACCCTCCATCTACGACGGTAAATCCTAATCATCCGGATGTCAAGTCATAATTATCAACTCGTAAATTATTTACTATTGAATACGAGACTTTCCAATCCAGTATCTCTCAATCTTGTAGCTAGATTATGCGAAGGGAATTATTTGTCAGTAGCTTTAAGAATCTAAATAAATGTAAGCAGACAAACTTCCGTACCAAAAGTAATATCTACTGCACAAGAGTTGATGAAAATGCACATAAATACCGGAAAGCTTAAAATCGAGCTAATGTATTCAGTAGCTTCAATACGCGAGTTAATGGATTTCCTTCGGAACACGATGGGCAACCGAGACTCATTTTAGTAAGACAAGTTTTCAAAACAATCCAGAATTTTTCCTTATGAATCTTAATCCCGAAACTTGGTTTCTATATATTATCAAACTATGAATCTCGATGACGAAGAGTTACTTTCGGAATGAGGTTTCCTGGTAAATATATTGTTAAATATCTCAATCTGTGATTCGAAGCGATAAATAATCTTCATAAAATGAACAGAATGAACGTCCGAAGTACAAACACAAATATTATCAATTGCTTGAAAACGCTTACGGTATTGGTTTTTAATTTTCTACCTAAAGAATTCGTCGAGAATATACTTTAAAAATTTTTATTTTACAATACCGAAACAGCGTGATGCTTTACAATATAATATTATATTTTTTCAAAGGATTATGTAGCACGCTTCAAAATTTTCGCTGATGTTTTTTAGAAAGCAGTGACAACTAGAAGGTTATATTTCTATCCGATAAACAAAGCTGTACGTTTATTTATCGACGATTATCGCTAATTATGTCAATAAATTTTGCATCAAAAATTCTATAATTTTAAATCCGAAAGGCATCGATAATATGGTATTTTCATCTGTTTTGTCACCTAAATAAACCGCGAGGTCTTATTTA